ATTATCCGGGATAGCACTTTTTTGGTCCTTTTCTTGGCTGCATTATATCGTTCATAAACTAAGTATAATATACTCTACAAGGCTATAAAGTGAGCACACACTGGCTGAGGGCGACGCGCCTTTAAATGATACCCTAGTCTTAGATGTTGAATGTTGTGATAGTGGATAGTGTAAGAGTAGATATAGTGGATACGTTTTCTACGGCGTCTATGCTCGAAGCGTGGTTGTATGAAATATGATATGAGGGAGGCGAGTGACTGCGGCTTGTAGGGAGCACGTCTGGATGGTTTATTTTCAACATTCCACACAATATACAATGTAGGTGTGACATTTCTTGAATATTAGAAGCCATTAATTGTTTTTTTCCGTATAAAAATTTTAAAATAAAGAAAAATTGAAAATAAAAAAAAACCGTTTAATTTACGATCGGAAACTTATCCAGTTATACTTAACTCAGAAGCTTGTAAATTTATGTAGTAGTTTATTTTAAAAAGTAGTATAAAAACCTTGTCAGATCAAAGCTATATTGCATGTTAACAAGATAAATTTAGTTTCACTTTAAAGCATGTAACAAAATCAAGCATCAAACGAATCTCCTAAACTTATTTTTTACTTCTTTTGAAATTATAATTATTTTGATGGATATTGATTCTAAATATTGAATTTCGGTAGCAAACAATCGGTAAGCCACATAACTATTAATGAAACATGTCATATCAGTCTCAAATGTGACATTTGCGTAAATATTGACGGATTACTAGCGCATTTGCTATGCGTGATACGCGCGGCTTTAGTTGTTTGCTTGTAGGGCATAATCTGACAATCCGAACAAAGTTGGGCCGAGTTGCACTTGTATCTAAACTTGGATAATTGATTAATCTTTTGCACAACATCAACTGCTAAGTGCAAGTGAAAAGTCAATTGTTCCTTGGATGACTGACGTCTAAACCACTGAAATTTCTAATTATAGTTTGGTAATTACCCAAGTTTGTGTTGCATGATAAATAAACTCATAAACAACTTTACCTTTACCTGCTTCTACTAAAATTTTCCAATTAAACGTTTTAATGTGAATTGTTCAAATATATGTTACGGTTATGATTAGATGAATATCCTACTTGTATCTCTAAGATGAGAAGCGGGTCTTGAGTGGTTGCGGTTTATCGGACAGAAGGACGGCCATTATCCTATGCACATGTTTGCGCTCCACCGGCAAATACGGATCGAAGGTGAATATCCATTTGCGAAATGGCATACGCGACCCATACTCAACTAAAGCTAATTTACCTTCGGAAGGATGAGGCATTGCAAATAGATGCCCCGGCAGCACACTATCAAATCATCTGCTTGCTGTGGTGTTGGATAGCAATCCTTGGCCGCCTATCTCTTCGAGCTTTATGATGCAGCGCGCTTAATCCAATTAATTAACAGCCGATGCAATCATCTATGCTGTTACGCGTCTGTCGGGCTAAGTCATGTTAATTGCTAATCCTTGGCATATCACTATTTGTCGTATTTTGCAATTTAACCGTCTGACAATGATAATAATTAGCACTTAATATAATTGTTTATTTACTTGACTTGACTCGACTGGTTTCATCTACAAGTGGCAAACACACTTGACTCAGACGCTTTTTATTTTTTGTTGGTACTTTTTGTCTACTTCAGCCTCGTCTGAGAGGGCTCATCGGCTGGCGATAATGATTCCCCATCGCTGCTCATTGTACTCATCGCGAGAGGGCGCATTAAACGTAGCAATAAGATTTTATGTCCGCCGCCCGTCACTAAGTAACCCCGCTGAGATCCGCAAAAAAAGAAAACGACACGAGATTAGAAAACAAGCTCCGCCGATGGGAAAACATTATGAAACGATTAACTTCTTCGTAGCCTTCTTGCCATTGTGCGCGGCTGCGATTTTCATCTAATGCCAATGTTGATGGCTCGCCGGCCACAATAACAACAAAAAGAAAAGCGGCCGAAGAAAAGCACTCGGCGTGCAGTGTTTATGTGTGTCCTCCGGTTTGCGCGCACAAAGAGCCTGTGGTGCAAGCCAGAACCCCGGGTGAAAGTGAAAGCTCGAGCATGACCCGCACCAACACCGCACTAACAACATGCCCCGGTTGGTCTTGATATAATCCCGGATTTACCTCTTCTAATCTTCCGACACGTACGCGCAGAAGGACGCCGTACCCTTGTAAACAACTTTTTTGATTACGTGCGACAACAGTGCATACAAGGTGTTGCATATTTTCCATCCAGCGAATGTTATCATCATTATTCTGAGCAGTTAAAACTGACCCGGTATGAAATGAAGTTGTAAATGTGTGTGAAAAGTGGAATAACAGACGTATAAAAAACACAAACGAGCGAGGCGCCAAACAAGGGAGGAAAATCTGTTGGGCGAAAAAATGTTATAAAAAAAACCGTAATATGTAATAGAGGTATAAAGGCACGCACGCCGAATTGTTCCAGCGAATTTATTTAATTATATCCGCTGAGTACATTGTGTACATTATTATCTCAGTACTAAAACGCACGATAAACACATCATTGAAAATATATATTTTTTATTTCTTTGTGTAATTATTCTTTCAACGACATTAAAATAATATTCCAGAGGAATTAATTGGATTCGCTTCAACTTTAACGTAATTTTCAAGTTGACATTGACACATTTCTCTCTGGAGTGTTCAACCCATTTCGGCTGAAACCTTGAAAAAATGCCGGGTAAAAAAAAGCGAAACGCTGAAAGTGAATAATCCCCAAATCGAATAACATCAACGTAAAAATTGCTTCCAAGATTCAGTCACGCCACTTATTAAGATTTCCGTTTCACCGTTTCGTCGCTCCCGGCTTGCCGGCGAAATTTGCGTACCGTTTCATTTCGTATTTTATCGAATTTCGGCGCCGAAACAAATAACGAGATTATCAGCGCGTTCTGTCTCGTGTTTATTTCTTTGCATTCGCTTCTTATCGTCCAACGCTACATTTTAGCTACATCTTTAAACTAATTCTGTCGGTTCTGCTGCAGTAATTTCTGCGTTCAAATTCTATCATTGCGAGGATTCACAAATTGATGGGGATAACCAGATTATTTTAAAGAAAAAAGGAACATTGATACGCAATATGAGAAAATTTGTCTAAAGTCAAATAAAATACTCGGAAAATAAGTTGATAATAAAATATTGATATGAATCAATATAATACACTTAATAATAGTTTCGGATTTTTCCTCTATTTTTGACGAGCGGAAGCGTTTTATAGCCTTCAATTGAAATTTATACCGTAAATTTGACCGAAAAGTATAATTGAATTATAAACTTACCGCGTACAGCTTATCGGACAGCCAAGGACAACGAGTGCTGCAACTAAACGAAAACATAAATTAAAACAAAAATATTTCATACAATTAAATTATGTTATAATAAACAATTAACACAAAATAAACAATCTGTACTGTTTAGTTAAAAAATACTTACACGAGCCTGATGGATCTTTGTTAATGATGAGAATCAACATGGAGACACCAAACACAACGTCGGCAAGAATGTTATCAACACACTCATCACGTGAATTTTACAAACGCGACCTCAAAAACCGGCACTTCCGAATTAAACAAATTGTTGCAGCAATAATCGATTGATCTTCGATAACTGATTTATTGAACTGAATAAACGTAAGTCTCTGTGACTGGATTTCAACCAGCAACCGGCACAATCCACCGGATAGTGCATGCCAAAACTGCGTGTAAACAACGACGGACAGTGGCGCGCAGCAAAGACTGACCTTGCGCACAGGCACACACCGGTGAACCAGACTTCCGCTGCATGCTGATGCGTTAAAAACGCTGACCAAATCAGACAACATTGTGACAAAACTATTCGTGCCCACGTTTGTCGATAAACAAAAAATGAGCCGTATAACTTTGATTTTATGATTTTATGCATCCCAGTGCCATCTGCAATTGCCAGATTCTAGTCCCAAAATGAATTAGCCAGAACCTTGAAATGTGAAAATAATGTCGATTTGTGTTTCATTTTAGAAATATTGCCGAAAAGGGTCGAGAAGATGGCAGCATGAACTGAGATCATATAATAAGATGGATAATACTGTAACTGAACGTGAAGTATAACAATTATTTCAGCAAATGCCACTTTGAAATAATTGGAATTTTTGAATTCTGATATCGATTCTAATAGATAACTTAAGTTTATAATGATTATCAAATGCATAAATTGTTAAAGTTAGGGAAAAATGTTAAATAAATATTAGATAGAGAATCCTTCCAAGTATTTAAAATCTGAAACCCGTTTTATAGTAGCTCCTTAGTTTGAGATAATTGCAATTGAAAATTTTAATTTATTCCACTCAGAAATAATTTTTCGAATTAAGTGCGACCCTGTTCAAGCTAAAAATGTTTATGAAAATAAAAGTGGCCCTGTTCACGCCAAAATTAATTTTAAGAATTAGGTTAGAGTCTGTTTTTCGTCATTATTCATTCAAAAGAAAAGTTAATACAAATTTAGTTGTTTTCTTTTTAGTTGCTTTTAGTGTTTTCTACTAAAAAGCCCAAAATTTAAGTTAATTACCATTTTTAGGGCATTTTAATTATTAGTTCCCGACTCAAATAAGCAGCACTTGATTCCTGTAATTGAGAGAAAAGGTAACATTTTAAATAATAAATCAATCAAACACTATCAATTATAATATAAAATATATTAACACCCGAAGAAATAAATCAACACTTCAAGTAACAAAATTAATTATCCTTATACGTAAAAACAATGCCTAGATTTTACAAATCTAAATAAGCAACTACTCATGAAAATTTGTTTTTCAATTTGAGGGGACCATTAGTCATTTATTCACAAAGATATGGCACGTCTTCATCCATTTTATGTTCAACTGGACATCTTCGTAGACTGGTTTGAAAGCAACCTCTGCCATCCAAATCCCGTCCCCGAATTGTTCACACACATCGAGGGGATCCATCATAGGAGAGTCGATTGAATGTCAAACCATAACTGTAACAAGAAATAACTTCAGAATTTCGTATTATGATCTTTTGATGGCGTTCTTGAAGTTGTTCCAGCAGTTTTAAAAGTAATGGCATTTGGTATAATTTTTATCGACGATTTTCGTTAATTAATAACATATCTCCTAAACTAAAAGAGATAGCAACTACCAAATTACTGATTATGAAAGATTGGATAATTCTCTATCTGACAAAAATATAAAATAATTATGTTTCTAAGAGTAAAAGGTCAAAAAACGCAACTGAAAGTGATTAAAATTGCAATTTTTCATTTTTTGACGATTACGGTGCCCTGAACACAAGTCACTTCTACCGCTACCCTCATGCGGTGCTTTGAACACGAGTCACTTTTACCGCTTCTCTTGTACGGTGCCTTGAATACGAGTCACTTCTACCGCTACCCTCATACGGTGCCTTGAACACGAGTCGCTTCTATCGACCCCCTTGTACGGTATTCCGAATGAGACTCAACTATACAATAGCAATTAATTGCAGTATAACTAAATAAACAAGGAAAAATCAACGTTCTTGACATATTCGAGTCAATAAAGGATAATAGTTCATATATTTTAAACTAAAAGCGATAGCGACCAACGGATTGAAAGTTCTGAAATATTGGAAAATCTTGCATTAAATAAGAACTTAAAATAATTTAAGCCAAAAACGTGACTTAAAGTGCAAATTTTCTTTTTTTGTCCTTCTTTTTAATTGCGAATATCTCCTTATTGTGTCCGTCTGTCCCGGTCGTCTAATTTTTGTCACAGGTAGGCATGGCCGACGAAAACCAGTGCGGGCCCCGGGGAAAATTCGCGGGCCCCGGCAATCGTTAATGTTTGGCTATTTTTTTTTTTTTGGTGTTTGCAATATAAGAGCGATTAGACGGGCCCCGGCGAATTTGCCTCACTTGACCCCCCTCTCATCGGCCCTGGCAATAACTATTTGTATGTCATCCTCGTCGACAATAAAATTTCAACACTGAAAATATTCACAATTTACCTGTTTGCATTTAGTAAGTTAGACAACTAAAACAAAAACTACCTAACTGATCAATTTTTGTGTTCAATCAAAACATGAATTTTGAATATTACTCTCGAATATATTTTCAATTACCAATTATTGCCGGTGGTGATAAAATAAATAGATTTGTTATCAAACGATAACAATATGCAAATAATAATTATTAACAATATTAAATATTGATTCGGGCTTAACAAGTAGCATGGTATTTTATCGGCTTTATTGTAGACGCACAATCCACATAAATCCTCATCCGAATCTGTGTGTATGTTTGCATTGTGCGTGCCCGGAAACCGCCATTCACACCGATTGTTCAACTCATCGTTGTGATTGCACCAAATTGCATTATATTGCTGTTGGAGAGCAGTTGCAATAAATTGCGACGCCCTAAAAAGCAAAGATATCGAAATTGGATTTGACAATTTATTCCATTAGTTAATTAATTTACCGCGCCGGCATCGTAACTTCATTGTTATCAGTAATCAATGCCAGCGACAAAACCCCAACAAATGCCATAAAATTGCGAATCAATTAATAAAATATAATCGAATCGCATGCAGCGAGCAAGAGCATGATTATTTTCAAAGTGGGCTTTAATTCGTAATATTTAATATTTACATAATTACGCTGACGTTATATTAAATTACATGTATGTAGATTATTTTTTCGATTATGAAATAATTTCAGTCACGTGCTGCAATTGATCGAATGGAACACGCCAGAAAAGTGAGTGTGTTGCTTTTATTTTTCGTTTGGAGCAAGTGTTTTGATAAATTGCTTAATTTTTGATAAGCTATCAAGAAATGCATTAATATAAAAGCAAATGAATATGCACAGCGTGAAAAAATCTATAGTCGCGGCAGCATTACTTGAATTAAGTTAAAATAATAAAAATTTTATCATAATTTTTATTTTAAATTTAAATTTAATTTTTAAATTTTAAATAGTTTTTCGTAATTTATTTCTTAAAACTATGAAAGTAGCATTTTTTTTAAAAGCTAACGAAACTATAACAAGAAATATTTTTTGCATCTTAGTACCGTTTCCCTTTCATGTCGATATTGAATATGCATATGCTGAAAACGGAGATTGCATATTTGGAAAATCATACATGTAAATTGTGAATACCGGGCGCATAGAGCAGACGGTCTGTGATTTATGTACATTCGGTTTGTTTATTTCGGCGCACGTTTCTGATATGATTGAAGCGAAAAGCGCGGCCGGTGCGCGCACGTCTGCCGAACGTATACACATCTTCAATTCTGATGAGAGGTTTTTCTGTCTCTGTTATTTTCGGAGGTTGGCTGCGTTTGCGACCGTCTTAAGATATTGATATTCACCGTGTACAACGCGTGCGTTTCTATCAAGGGAGCACCAGGCAATCGTAAACCAAACCTTGAGAGGCTGGCAGGAATTCGAAAAATTCCCCAAAATTCACGAAACTCCGCACAAGACATAACAACGGAAAGTGCTACACAAAAACTCCTACCTGACATAAAAATAAACATTAGACACTGAGATATATTCAATTTAAAATAGTATTAAATGTTTTCTGTGGAAATTTTGTTTTGAACTTAAAAATATTAGAATTTCCTTTGAAAAATGTTGACACTCTGTGTATTAGATTAGATTGAAGTGCACTGGGGTAGATGGGTCGGTGGGTAGCTGGGTGGAGTGTAGAGCAATAGGCTAATACGTGACGACCGAGGTGAAACTGCTCAATCCCAGAATCCCCGGCTGCATTAAAATAAGCGGTGTGAGTGCGCGCGTCCTTGTCGTGCGGGAACACTGAACGGGAATTCGGGCAACCTGAGGCCACCCCAAAAACCACCCCAAGCCGCTCTGGTCGCCTGGCGGCGCGTGAATAGGAATGAGAATTAGGTAGTGGCGGAGGCGCCGGGTGGAGGCGCCGGGCGGGAGCGCCATTGCTCATCGCGTTATGGCACTGCACGTTCGCACACAACCTGATTATTTGATAGCTTCATAGGTACATGAAGAACGTTCAGATACAAACACACATTTGTCAGGTAACATGACGCAGGTATTTCTCTATCACATAAACTCAGTTTAATTTTTCTTTTTCTCTGCTTGTTTGTTCATTTTCACTGTGAGCTAATAGAGCTTACTTTATTTTAAGACCCAACAACAACTCCTTGGCATTTAGCGCACTCAGATTGAAGCTGTGATTCAGACTGCGAATGCCTACTTGCACCCTCCGTAAATGTTACGTTGCGAAAGAAAAAAGTTTCCGACAATAGGAATATAAAACAAGAATAAAAAGAAAAGGCAAAAAAGAAATTATCATTGAAAGAGCGCATCCTGGAGAATAACAAGAACAATAAAGACAAACAGAAATTTAAAGAAAGTTTTTTCGGAGGTGATACCAGCCGAAGTGTTAAGTATTTTTGAATGGGTTCAACCTCGAGTTCAGGTTTTATGAAAATTGTTTATGCGAATGTAAAATTCACGAAAAACAGTAAATGTACGCGGGATTATTTAGGTCGTAACACATTTTCAAAGTAGAAAGGAAACAAATAGAACAATGGCGATGGCGGTTTGCATCTGAGATTCAAACAAGATTTCCAAAGTGCATTCAAATCGATTTGCAACGCTTTTACGGTTACTGCAACTTTCACTAACAATGCACTCTCTTTCAATACATCGTAAGTTTGTAAATTTAAACCATTTTGCGTTTATAAACACATTTTTAGTATTTTCTCACAAATAAAATATAAATTTTCTACAAAAAAGTGTTGTAAAAGATAAATCTCTCTTATATAATCACAGTATTTTAAAAGTTTAAACGAAAACTACGAATTAATTTGAATTTTTTGCATTTTTTCGCTACAAACCAATCCGTCGAGGTTTATATTATTGTTTGGGATGGTGCACTCGTTGTTGTTGTTGACGAGTGTCTGACTGAGCTTGTCCATCACGTCCAGATACTTGAACACGTTGTCGACGAGTTCCTGCACGTTGTCGACTTCCGGAATCAGTGCTTCGTCGGCGATCAGACCAATTCGCAATCGATTGTCATATGTGAACATAGAAATGCCAATTCCTTCCAAACAAAAAACCCTATAAATCATCTAATTATTAAAAAAAAACATAAAAAATACCTATTTTTTTAATGTTAGGAATCCAAAAGTATAAATCATTAATATGTCCGCCATGAAACATTTCCAAACGTCCATGTCCCGGTAAATTACTCGCAGAGATTGTGGAATCGAAATAACTCATAATAAATTTCACCAGTGGCAACGGCATTATGTAAGCGAAATATTTCATAAAGAATATTGTGAGCTAAAATGTTAATTTTTATTTAAATAATATTTATGAGTGGATATTATTTACTCACAGCAATATCAAGACTCTGTGATAAACTGATAATCTCTCTTTTAACACGATCAACTAAATCAAGTAGGTTTGCCTCCACAGAACCGTTGGAAATCAATGGAAGTTTCAAGAAAGCAACAACAAACTTATTCGACAAATCCAGCGCTTCTACTTTTCCATCAACGATCGTGACCATGTCCTCAAACTTGGGAATAAAAGGCAACAGGACTATGCCGTTGACGATGTAATCGGGCACATTATCTGGATCGTGCTGAAAATAATTCAAAAGCGTTACCATTTTAAAAGCTCGCCTAACCTGCTTGGGTGAAGTGTGTCAGGTGGTGGTTTGGTGATATTTTCCTCTTGTTTCGGCGCGTGTTGCTAGTAAATGTGTACCATAAAGATAAATATATGCGGCACGTACTTTCTGATAGTATTCGCTGAAGCTGGCCGCGAGCGCCGCAAATAGGACATTGTTGAAGCTGACGCCATCAAAGCGGCTTTTAATATTTTTCACCGCGCGCACGTAATCTCTGCCCATATCGCGACTCCATACCAAATTCTTCCTGCCCGTGAGCGTTTTACCGTGCAGTAAATTCGCATCGGGTTTGCCGAAGAGTGGATGGTAAAACTTGCTAGTCATTACTTTACGTAACAATTTGCCTAATTGCATTGTGCCCTTCTTTGGCGTTGTGCTGGCTTCTTCCGCATTTGCATCCGCTTCATTTGCTGCGTCTTCCGGGCGTGCGGCGTCATTGCCCTGATCGTTCTTTTTAATTTTAAACATCTTGCGGAAATCCTCTTCGGTTTTCTTGAGAAAAGCGGCCGGATCGCGACCGAGACCTGTGATGCAGAAGTTCATCAGCGCGATTCCATCACCGAGGCTGTGATGCATCTTCATTATAATCGGATATTCGAACCTTCCGTTTTGCGCGAAGCGGATCGGCTTGGTGCCGACGAGAAACTCGAGCATCTTATCGTCTTGCGGACCGATCGGTTGATTGCTGCACGCGCTCAGCATGCGTCTGACGTCTTCTTCATCCTCGTACGGTGGCATTTTCTGCACCAGCCCGTCGTAGGGATCCATTTCGATGTAGTAATTGTATCCGAGTAGGTGGCGGCGGCGCATTGCCGCCTTACGACATGAACGACGCAGTTCCGGTTGGTGGATCTGCCGTACGAAGGCGTCATACACGTCGCCATTTTTCTCCTCGTCAAAATCGAACGTCCCCAGAATAGTTATTTGCCCTCGTGACGTCTCGTGCACTTCCCACACCGTGTCATATCCGTCCATTAATCCGTAAAAGTCTTCGCCGTGCTTTAACTTGAGATAAAAATGCAGCAGCCCGCGGAAGACCAGGAAGAAGCAAGCCAATACCGGAAATGTGATCGCGATCGTCACCAGAAGAACGTACTTAAAATATTTTATCACCTCCATGATGAGAAAGCACTTAAAGTAGGACTTTGGGTCACAATTGTTGCATTTTTGTGCGTTTTAAGTGATTTAAAAGTGCAAAATGCAAAACGCGACCGAAACAACCGAAGAATCACATCGAAATGGCGACACGCTTAGATTCACAAAAATAAAGTAAAAGTGTATCTATCACGTAACGCCGAAAAGATTTGTGTAATCGTTTGCATGCACGCACAAACGTTGCCACAGCGAATAAAAAACCGGCTTGATAGTAACACAACACGATCAAAGTTCTTCGCGTGTACCAAAAGTTTACTATTTCGACTTGCGTAACTAGACGCTGGTCTATTAGACCACTCTCGGCGAGATGAAAGTGCAGATTATCCAAATGAATTTATGAACAGAGCGCCCGAAAACGGTTGACACAACGATCGAAGCAATTAATCCTGCATTCGCAGAGGCACCTCTTCGTCAGTTGATAAAGGACGACTGCGGAGGCCAGAAGCACAAGAACAAGAAGACAAAATATGCGAGTTCCACAATGGATTTCGCCCGGGCTGTCCGTCCGTCCGTTCGTCCGTCCGGAATTGTGTGAATTGCAAATGAGTTGACCACAATGCAAGCGTCGTGCTTATGCGGATCGTGTCCGGGATCTTCAACAACTGCTAATGCGACAGCAAAGTTTCACAATTGCATCGCATTCGACGTGGAAATACAGACGACTGGCCGGGATAGTTTTGGGTTGTCGTGTGATTCAATTATTTATATTTACAAAATTTACCCAGTGTCCTAATCAAACCTTTTTGATAATTTGCATTGCTAAAAAATATCAGCGACGTGCTCAATTACATAAAATTCAATTTGAATAATTTGTATATGCGTAGTTTTTATTTTTTCACTGTTGCGTTTTTAATGTCGTTTGTTTTAATTACAAACCGCTGGACAAATATTGAAACGGGAAATCTGCGTGGAAATTTTGCGCCGCTGCGCGTTGCCCGCACTGGTGTTTGGGAAATTTTGCTTTTGCGTTTATTACATCACGTCTGCAATCAGTCAGCCGCGAACATCAGCTCCCAAACGCGCTTCAGATGGTGTTGCCGTGCGAAACAAGAACAACGCCGAGAAATTTCAATCATGCATCGTCAACTAATCCCAGCCACCCGAAATGTATTTTCACTAGTTTGCAAACAACTATGTGTGCGTATACAAATTTGGAAACAAAAATTGAAAATACCTGGCGAATTCATTTCCAAACTGTCACTATTTCAACCTAAAAAAATATTTTTTATTTTTGTTGCCAAAAAGTCAATTTTCTGTTCGACCGGATAGAAAATATCCTAAAAATTATCTAATACTTATTAAAAGTTTAATTTTATCACTTATATAAACAAAATATAACAAATCTTTAAATTAAAATAGAAAGTTTTAATTTCTACGTCTTAAAATCACTTCAAACGTCTTTATAATTAAATAAAGTATTAAGTTTACAGATATAAATTACAAAAAGCACTCTTATTTTTATTACGTTAACCTGCAGTTGTATAATATTAAAGGCCTTGACACCGAAATGTTCTTTTTTCACTTCTTTCTCTCTTTTATTCGGGTCTGCGTGCTGTTGGACTACGGTACTAATGTTGTTAGTTCTTAAAAACAGTTGACTACCGCATTATGCAACATTTCGGCGATCAGCGTTCTGTTCGACTTCAAATTTCACCATCTATCGATCGTTACTAGATTCGTGAGTATAAAAAAATAGTAAACAGCAGATCGTTGACTCTCAAGAGCGTTATATAATAATTATGGTGTATAAAAATCATATTAAATATTAAATTAATGTTATTTAGAAGATAATTATGGATGCAATTTATTTATAAAGCAAAATTGTGATGACAGGCAATTAATAAAAAATGTTATATTTTGTAATAGGCCATATTACATATTAAGAATAAAAAATATTGAAAATTTGTAGGTTATGTTGTCTATTAAGCTGTTTTACGCGGTTTTCCACACTCTGATGCGGAAAACATTGTTTTCTGAGGCAAATTTCATAAATATAACAATAATTAACCAACAATATCAATTTGCAATTTAATATTGACCAAAATAAGAATTTATTACATCAGGAATGATTATTAAGCTACTAATCATGTTCCAGTAATTAATTAATAACAAAAACAAACACACTATTATTCAATATCCACCAAAACAAACAGTATTCTTCTAAATCGATGTAATTTGCTTGGAGTTCAATCTAATTACGATCGTCCGTTTTATTTGATGGAAGCTTTGTGTGCATTTTATGTCGTGATACCTACATACGCAACAATATTATGGTCGTTATCGCAACACGATTGCAACTATGTTTGTGTATAATCAGCACCCACCTCGCCTGTGTGCTGACGATGCACTTTAACCGCTATCGAAATAGACACATTATTATTATAGCGCTACATTGCATTAAAACCGCGCAATCAAACACAGCAATAATATTGAATATAATTTAACCGCTGCGTTTTAGTATACATCTTGTATGTGGAGATCGGTTACACTCGTAATTTTGAAATGATTGCGTTTAATTTGAAATTGTAGCTCGCGCTGGAATTTCGTTGTGCTGATAGTAGTGCATGCGTTACGTGGGTGCACCTACTCGTAAGCCGTACGTTTGCAAAGTGTGCAGTTGCGAATTTCGCGTGCAAATATTTCGCTAATTTTTCGACGTATTTGCGTTAATTACCATTTGATGCACAGTAATCGCGGCGCGCACGTTTTCAAGCGGATCACTGCAAACACTCATCAAATTATTATTCTCTAATGCTATAGCGGTGATTAACGTATCCGAGTTTGCAATTTACTGTCGCACAATTGGTTCATTTAAATGATTTCGGTCAGGTACATAAACAAATCTCTAAATCTCGGCAAACCTCATGATTTGCACTTCATTTACTCTATAAAATTTTGCTATAGTTTGAGTTGACATACATGTACCGAACAAAAGTATTATATTTAAGTTTTTTAGTGGCTAAACAGAAGTTTTAGTCACGAGATTGATTAAGAGCTCTGCCCCGTGACTAAAATTCGAAACAAAAGTACTTTATTCACGGTCTGTGGCCGTCCGTGTATAAAATATCACCTTTTGTGCCTTAAAACCAAAGAAAAACTGGTGCTTTAAAGGTGGTAGTAGAAAAAAATCAATTTTAATTATTTGTGTAACCATAATACTAAAGAGTGCAAGCAAAATTTAATTTTGTAATTAACGCAAAAGTTTTAAAACACAATCTCATCCCAACCTGGATTCATTTCGGCCATTTTCTGCAACGTAATAGCACCGTAATATAACAATGATAATGAGGACTTTATTGGAACATTACTCCCGCATGCGGCCGAGCAAAAATTCACCTAATGGCCTGAAGGACCGAAGCAAATTGCAAGGAAGCGGTGCAGAAGAAACATATAACGTTAAAAAATGAATTTAATGACTCGTTATGGCACGAAATGATCTTACTAATCACTAAAAACTTCCCTGCCTTGCCGAAATAATTACTCCTACGAGTTGAGGGGCGTCGGCAGCGCAGGGAGTTTGAACACTGCGCCTCGTTACGCTACGTGCGAGTCGTCATAAAGAGACGAAAAGAAGGGCGGCACCGAGACTCAAACGAGTTGCGGAAGCAACGCACGAGAAAGATGAAGAAGTTATAAACTCGTAAAATTCATTATGGCTTTGATATGGACATGACGGAATGTACAGTTTAGGTTTAGAAATCTATACAATGTGTACACAAAATAAACAGAATAAAATTTGTAGTAAAATACTACATTTGAGGTTAAATTCAACTTCAAGTAGGTACGTAGAATATTCATAAATTTAAATAGGTTATGTGAGTATACATTTATATAATATATGAGTTGTTATAATTTTATGAATCTGGAAGTATATTAGAAAACTGCCAAGAGTTGGATGTTGAAGGATTTCATTACAAATTTCGGTGATAAAACAAACATAAAGTTGCTAAGTATAAAGGACGAGAGCGCGTTTTGGGTTCGTCCGTTCTGCGACGCCATTTTGTTTCAGTTTGTTCATGCGGTCATAAAAGTATAAACGTGTCGCATAAATTTTCAAGCAATACATATTCAAATTGCATTTTAGGTGTAAATACTAGTTAATTTTATTATTAATTATATTAAATGCCTTAAGTGCAAAAAATTACTGCCAAATATAATAAAGCGTATAATGTAAACCATAAATTATCAATAAATATCTTTAATAATGTTGTAGTTATTGTTTTACGCATAGAATGAAACATAATTAACGCAATTATCTGATTGCATCGTGTCATTAGTTTGTTTCCCAACATACAAACCGCTGTTGCGTTGATGTGTGTTGTGTGTGTGTTGTGTTGCCAGCGTAGCGACGCACTTTGGTCAGGTGACCGACATTCGCAATCCCACGAAATGTGTTGTATAATTGTGATGTCGCTTACAGCTATTTATTGCCGTACGTTGTAGTAAAACATCAAAAATACACAATACCCTAATTTAAATATTTAATATTGTTTGTTTTGCGAATGGGTATATTACATTTTTGCATTAATTTCTGTAAATAAAACTTGTAGCCAATTTTAATGACGTAAATGATTTTCGTGGCAATCAAGTAAATTATTACTCAAATTGCATGTGTCAACCCTAACGGTAGACGCCATTCACCCACATTCCGAATTTCCCGCTCTGCGTCCTTGAATGTGTTTCTGTATAATCGTTTCGTGGATGATGTTTGAGTGGTGTTTGCCATTGCGGGAGCCGACACATTAGCCGTCCGACCTAGGACCCATCGAGCCAACAAATCCACCAACGTCAACCAACTGCCATCTTTGCATGCGCAAACCGGCAACATCGAACCGACCGGATACCAACCACAATCTCAAATCTAGATGCTGTACATGAACGGATGTACAGCTGGTTGTTGCTGTGACTATGTTGTGGTTAGATGTTGCCCGGAAGCACTGTATGCTACAAGCAGTTACGTCAATGACAGTGACGGTGTGACATGCAGTCCCACTGAGTAGCAAACCACGAGAAGAGCGAAAGTCAAAGTGCAAATAAACGCAAAAAGACAGCAAAAAAAGCACACAGCGAGTTTTTGATGGATTTCCTTCCAATGACAGCGAAAGTTTTTCTTTTCTCTTCGCATCCGCCCGGAGTGCGAGTCGATATTTGTTTTGTGCCTACGGTTCCTTCTAAGTTTCTTGGGTTATGAGTTCAGTCTGGTAGGTGATTGGCGGTTGGCCCGGTTGCGCAACGTCACCTTTATTGAATGTTCGTTTAATACCTCTTCGAAGCGTCGAATTTCGCTCCAGATCGATGTCATCCTTGTTGCGAAGTTTTACGGCCGTCGTCAGCATGCGACATTTGTTTTACGTGTCATGTTTTTCGCACTGAAAAACACGCCGGAGTCCAAAAAATCTATGTTTTTAAGATTTCCTTAGGAAAACTTTGTCTAAACTTTTGTATCTTGTACAAGAACAAAGTGATATTTAAAATTGAGGTTAATCTAATTCTAACATAATGCAGAATTTACACTTTTTGTTTGTTTCGTTTTTTTTTGTGGGTTCGGTAAGCGAAGCCTCATTATCGTTTTATTTCGTTGATGGGATTTGGAAACGAGACCTAATTCTCGACGGGATTCGACAAATATACGCGATCGAATGCGAACGCGCGCGACTACAAGTTGGAAATTGATAATGCAATCCCGCGAGTATCGCCCGGAATAGCAGCCGAAGAATGGTCCAATCTATGGTCTGGGGGCCTCCGCAGTGTTTGTTCGTATTTAATCCCAACGTTGGATTCGACTTGGAAAGCCCTGAAGTAATTTCTAAAATTCATAATGTCAGAAAAAACTCCATCCGGTCAAAAACGCCACAAAACTGAACGAAAAATGATTTTAAACTCCGCGCTATTTTATATATTTTTAACTTTTGCATCAGAATTCATTTTGCGCATTCATTAAAACCCAGAAAAACGGAAAAACCAATTAAATTGTTTATTTTACAGTTCATCTAACGCATGGTGCATTCGGTCGATATGATGAACGATGCGATCTAAAAACCGCTGTGTTTGGTCTAGGTCAGAAATGATGACTTTGTCCACAATTAATCCCATTTCAAGACGACCTTGCGATGAAAAAATTGATATGCCAATTCCTGAAAATAAATATTGATTTGAAAAAGTAATTTCGCCTTTAACTTTCAACGCGGTGAAATCGCTAACCGATATCGATGGAATTCGGAATCCAGAAATACAAATCCTCAATATAGCCGCCATGCCACAATTGTCCCCTGGCAAAACCGGGCAAATTTGAAATCCCAAAGGTCGTGTTGAAGCCTCTCATTAATAATTTCACGCACGGCACGGGTAACAGTTTGGCAATTACACGATTGCAGAGAATTAAAACCTTCAATAACAAATATTTATAATTAAACATTTTGATATTTATATAATATTTATATTATATTATACTTCAACATCCAATGATTTTTTTAACTTGTCAATTTCCTCATTGATTTCGTTTATTTTTTCAATCGCTGATAATTTTCCAGGTTTTACTCTCATGGGAAGTTTCAATGCACACACTACGTATTTATTTGTCATGTCAATATCGCAAATATTTCCGGATGAATTAATTTGTACCATTTCATTGAATGCCGGTATTTGTGGTAGGGTGACTAGTGCTGATGTGATGGTTTCCGGCACGTGGTTCGGTGAGACCTAAATTATCACTAGGTAATTAATGTGTTTCGATGATAAATTCACCTCTTACCAAGTGAAAATATTCGTTAATAGTCGTTGCAATCGCTGCTAAAATAACCGAATTAAAAGTGGCATTCGGTAAGACGTTTTTAATGTCTTTAACCTTTTGGACATACTCGGAATGCTTATCATTGTTCCATACGAGATTCTTCTGACCGCTCAAAGATCTGCCGTGTAAAATGTGACTGTCATACCGTCTCAGAATCGGAGGCGCGTAGCGTTCTTTCCGCAACAATGCGTACAACAATTTTAAGTATTTGAACACGTTACAGTGTGTAGCTCGTCTTTTCTGAGGCTTTCGCATGTCGGTCATTGTACCAGTACGGTATGTATCCGAAAGGAATTCGGTTGGATTCTTCATCAGTTGCTTGATAAAAAGGCAATTCAACGAAACGCCATCGCCCAAAGAATGATGCGTTCGCACTATAACCGGATACATTCTTTTTGAAGTATTTGTTGACCATTTTATCGGTTTTGTTCCGATTAATAACTGCATCATTGCATTGTCAGCACAATCACCAAGCGGTTCACAACTGCTGCCATATTCACACAATAACTTCTTTAAATCGTCTATGGTATCATACGAACGCATTTTTTTGACTAATTTTTGTGTGTAATCTAGGAAAAAGTAATAATATCCCATGAAATATCCACGTCTGCAGAATAATTTCGGACATGTTTGTTTTAAATCCTTTGAATAATCAACTTGTTGTTGAAATGCTGTCAAAATATCTCCGTTTTTGTCTTCATCGTAAGTGTGAATAAACATTGTGATGATTTGTCCTAGTGATTTTTCTTGTATGGCCCATATCGTCTCGTCACCGTCCATCATTCCATAAAAATTTCCACCGTGTTTTATTTTTAACAATATATAAACCACACTTTTGAAAATTAAACAAAATACACTTGGAATTGTCAAAAATAACGCTAATAAACTCAAAAGAAATGAATTTTCAATCACATTTTTAATTGTTTTTGCAACACTTGGTTTATATTTCATTTTTGGTCATTTACTAAAGCGATAGTTTAGTATTTAATTAATTTTGAACCACATCACTTCATTTTAATGAGTACTATTCACTTAGCCTACTAATGATGACTAAATGAATTGTTTTGTGTAATAGCGCAACGATTATTTAACGTTGTTTATGTTTACACGCGCGATTATTGATTGTAATGCAAATTTTCAAAACAATACGTAATTTCGTAAACATACAGTCTGTTTATTAAACTTTTAGTGAACGGATGAAATGTTTGGTTAAAAATATTTGATTTTGTTGTGTGGGTTGCCTGCATTCTGACCGACCGAAGGAGTAGTACTCACATATATCTCCGTTATGTGTTTGATTGATTAAACTCCTTATCTGTTACGAGCAGGACGTTATCCTTTCGTCTGGGCGCAGCCTTTATAAGCTTGAAGAAGCACATCGTTCGAAACGCATAAAACGTATGTGCGCGGATGATTGAACGAACCATAATAATGAAATATGGAATGGACCGGCGATACTCGTACCTCTCACACAGTGGATACGTAATAAGGCAACACGTCAGGACATCATACGTCTTTGTACATTTTTCCTGTCAGGATGGAATACTCGTATCTAGCACACCGGCCATTTTTTACCGTTTTCATCATCATGATCTAATCATATGTTGATTTCACAATATTTTCAAATTTTGTTATTTATCTGATTTAAACAAATAGGCAATTAATATTAATGTTTGTTTTGCAGCAGGATGGAAAATATTTTTAAGTTGTTGGAGATTGGTCATTCAATTTTGATGGAGTTGCCAACTCAAACAAATTTCTTTCCTCGCATGAAGCATTAGACGCTTGGGCCATCATCACCGTCGTCACAAGCGTTAATTAAAGTTTGCCAAAGTGACAATTTTCGCAGCTTCTGAGCGCGGTTTCGTTTTCTGATGTACGCGATGGAAAAACTCGACGTGCCGGAAGCGCACGCCGAGCGCCCGGCGGTCGGAACCTTTCCAGAAAAGCAAACTAACTGAATATTCAATCGTTCCGACTCTCGAGTCTTATGAATATTTATCACATTGAGGAGGGAACCACATTACATCGCTTAGAATGCTTAGTTTTCTAACGCTTCTCACGCTTTGCACGCAGCAGGGAAATAAGTTAAAGTTAAGAAAGCTTGAGATTCGCAATTTCGTATTTTTTTGCTTAAAAAAGCTATTTTTAGGTTAAATAAAGTTTATACATACCAAGACAATTTTATTTTAAATAAAATTTTATCGACATTCGATAAAAATTTAAATTGAAATTATTGAGCGCTCGTGTTGAAATCTAGAAAATATTCCAGTTTATTTCGACGTCTCTTTCAACTTGTGGAATTTACAGCAATAATCTTCAATCGCTCCCGGCATCATTTTGTACACATTTACCTGTTGGAGGTTTCAATATCAATTTCTCTGAAATGCCTAATATCCATCTGCATCTATTACTTTCCGGGCCCGCGAGCTTTGTGCTAGAGTTTTATTGTATTTGTACGTTTCGTACGTTTGCCACCGGTACACGGTAAAAGCCTCGAGACACACTTTAAATTTCTGCACCTTTGAAGCTCTTTGTGGAGCAGAGTCGGGCAACAAACATATCAACCTAACGGCGGCTTCGATATGCGCCGCGCGGAATATGAATGCGCATTATGCGCGTGTACCTATGTGCAATAATAAAATTTGCGCTTTGCGCCGAATTTCGTGGGTACGCGTGCGTTGCGGCAGGAATATAACTGGCGCACCTCGTCGGCCCTATGTCGATATTTCGTTTGCAGTAGTGGTTATTCTCAATATCGAGGGCAACGCGGGATTGTGGTGCAATTGCGTGCAGTTTGCACACATATTGCAAATCCGAACGTGCGAGGGAAAGAGGAAAATAAATCGAAAATCGTATGACGTATGTGCGCATGCATCCGTGCATAATTTCTATCGATACGTGGTACGAATTTCAATGAGGTATAAAATTGACAACTTTTTTTCCACTGCGAATTTAATCCCTGAAATATAAATCTGTTTATTTCAAAAATAAACTTTGTCGAAATATTTAACAGTTAATTATTTAATGGTATAACTTGTTTAGTTTTTGTGTGATGCGTACCTGGAATAATTTCAGAGAGATTTTCCAAAGACTTTGGCATCACGAGACTGTAACTCAGCCGTCTCCTTCGCACACACAAGACGATTGCATGATTAATAGCATCTCAAACTTAAATATTTCAAGTATAACAATACGGCTTCGGTAATAAATCCTCTTGAGGCGTTTTACCTCGCCGACAAACGCGGCAAAGAAACTCATTTCCATTCTTCGCTTGGTCTCATTCAAATTTTTTTCTTCTCTCTACCCGCTCTACCCTTTTCAACAATATACAATTTTACATAATATTGTATTTCATAAAAATATGCGTTTCATAAAAATAACGCTGCGAATAAGATTTCACAACTGAAGTGAGTTTCTAAGCTTGTTTCGGTTTTTTTGCTACATTTCTTGTATTTTTTGGTGTAGGTATGTGAAGAAGAAATCGCGAAACAAACAGAACGCGAAGCGTGTACCTAATTAATTTGGCGGCGTTGTCGGAACATTTGCGTTTTTTGTTTTCTTATTTGTGCGTCGTGTTTTTATTATTTCGAATGGGATTTTGAGGCTCGTGGGGTACGTGCAAAAATGTGTGGCACATGAAATGCGTGACGCGGGGTTTAAATTACGATTAATTCCACCCACTTAAGTGTTCGCATTAAAAGCTCGTTAAAAATTGTTTGCGTCGACGTGTTGGACATTTTTCTTAAAGCCTTTTTTAAGTGATATGGATAACAATGGTAGGAAACGTTTTTTTCTACACCACAACTTCGGTTTTATGCGAGTTGTCAACAAAGTTTTAAAAAATTTAATTTCCAATCAAACAAAACTAGAAAAAACAAGAAATCAGTAAAATTACATAAATATTTCATAAAAATTAATATTTATTGTTAAAAAATAAAGTGAAAACAGTGTAATAAAATATGGATACGTTTTATGCATGAAAATATAATTTTTTTAGTTTACTGCCGCACATACGAATAAAACAGTACATTGTAGAGCAGTAATTTCGAAAATGCAAACTACATTGTAAACGCAGTTAAGTTTTACGACTTTCTATTGACTAGCAACGCCGCCGAACGCGATGATAGAGTATCACGTAGTTATCATGCGATAGCGTTTTAATTGTTAGTGTAAAAATGATGGCTGGTTCAGTTTTGTCACTTCCATTCGCCCGCGACGGAATTGCGATTAGTGAGATTAGCAGCGGCGTATCGTAAAGTTCGTTCATTGCGGAGCGCAGCAACGCGTCGCGTGCGTCGTGAAAATGCTAAATTGCCGCCGCCGCACGTTTCATTTCCCAGGATAAATATTTAACGTTCGCATTCTGTGACAATGTCGCTGGCGCAGTCATTATGGGCGCGCCGAAGAATTATTTCGAGCGTGTCAAAGTTTACTTCAACGGATTCCGCGCCGCTAAAATATGAATGGCGGCTTAAACAATGATGTTCGAAATGTCACAGAGCTGACCAATTTCCTCGCTGCTTTGTGTCACGCAAATCCCAAATTTGAAATCATTCTTATTATTTTTTTCCTGCTTCCGTTGCGATTAAAATGCAATAAATGAATCAATTTTATAACCGCGCGTCTTTTAATAATACCAAAACATTTTTCTTGAAAATAATGAAGCGTCTTAATGACGCTTTAAAATCGGAGTGTGTAGTAAGAAGCGGAAATCAACAAAAATCAAGCGGAGCTTTTCTAAAGTCCGTGAGGACCGCGCCGGTCGCGCGGTAGAGACGAATGACGGGATGAAAAAGATGCGCTGCGAAATTTTCCTGACACTTGACCGATGAACGAGATTATTCTTCGCGAAATGGAATCTGCCGAGCGTCTTGAAGTTTATACGTATCTGCTATTCCGTATTTTACCGTTCGTTCATTCTCTCGTCCACGGGTTGTTTATTTCGTTAGGCGTTATTAACATTACGACGTTTGCAAAATGAATACGCTTAATTATTATTATTGTTTGAGAAAAGCGTTAGTTGCATAAGATATTCCGGGGCTTTCTTCACCGGGAATATCATTTTATAGCGCGTTATTAAATGCAAAACATTTGATCATAAACTGAGGTTGTTAATAAGATAAATGAAATTAAACGCATTAAATTTTCTTTTTAATGGCGGAAACGGTAAATAAATCGTTTTGTAGGTTATGTATGTCAATAGTAAAGTATTTGCCTTGGTCAAATAATACACAACTCAATCATTTTTTTGTGCCTCCAGTGTTTATTATGCGTCACAAAAGAGTAAATGTTTATAGAGATGAGATGTTGAAAAAATCCAAGCCCTCTCGAAAAAGCGACACTCTTGGAACACGTATAAAGCGACCGCGCGGGCGGCCATGCTGAAATATGGAGCCATAAAGACGTGCCATTAGATAATTCTATATCCGGGCCGGACGTGAGCTACATGATCGTTCGTCGGTTCCAATTCGCCAGCTCGCCAGCTGTACTTTTTTTCACTATCATACCGCCCGCACACCGGGTCATACGAAACCTGGCGGGACTAACGCACTACACAACTGTCGCCGCCGCCGAACACACCCATCGTGCGGCAGTATTTTATACGCGAAATAAGAGAATCCTCATATCTAGCCTGATGGAGTATTGAGTAAATGACAAAAACGACGAACGCGGAAATGAGGAGCATAAGGAATGCGCCGCCAACAGAACGGAAAATGGCCCAAATAAAAAATAAATGTGAAAAAAAAAAGATACGAAATGAGAGTAGGTACAGTCGAAAAGGGAAAAAGTTAAGACGCCAAGTGCTACGCACAGTTGGAGAATGTGGTGATAAAAAAATGAGAAATAAAAAATTCAGGGAAATAATCGTTTGGAAAATTACTTCTGTAACTTTGCTAATTTAAGTATATATATTTTCAGTAGGTCATTGTGCGTATATGATGATTTAAAATATGAAAACATTTATTTTGTAATATTTTTTTGTTTAAATTGGAATTTGAGGCTTTTTGTTCAAATACTCGTAGCATTGCCATTAGCAAACAGTATTACAAAAGTAATTATTCATAAAATTTAATAGAATTCTTTGAATTTGCCACAAATAATATGGTAGGTTTAAAAAACACTCAAAAAACTTGTAACATTCATTTTTACGTGATAATCTCCTTAATTTTAATGCATTTTACTCGAGTTTGCAAAAAGTTTTACGAAAACTTTCATATTTAAACAGGATACTATTCAGTTTGAATTTACACTAAACCTAATGAAAACTTCTCCACAATTCCATTTTATTCCCCCGCATTCTATTACGTTTTCCACTTACGTCTTTTTCACGACAACGCTTCTTCAGTTTGAATTCGCTTCGTGAATACTTTAAACTATCATAAACTATATGCAGGGAATTTTCTCGGCCTCGTTACACTGAGTCCGAAGGCAGTGTACAAAAGCTCAAATAATAAAAAAATCGCAGAAAGAAACTTGCTCCAATGCGGTGCAAAAAAATAAAATGCCAAGAATAAGAAAAAAAACACAAAACTTGGAGTTTCGGTAACCTGGGGCGGTTTGAATATTCGCAGAAAGTTTCCAGCAGAAATAAAAGTTTCTTCTTGCTTTCCTGCTTCTGCAATTCATGCACGCAATTAAATCATTTCGTCTTGTTAGAGCAAGTTGTTCACGTTGATGGTGGTTTTATATTTAGATTGTGTTGTATAAAAGGCGTATTATAATTATTTAAATTATGCGAGGCATACAATTTAATGGAATGCACAAAGTTTGGATCTGACCTTGAAGTTTTCATTTTTTCACTAATTCATGTTTAAATTATAAAAAGTTGAATTTTAAATTACATTACGAGAATTTTACGAAAATTCCTGTTATAATCATCAATGAAACAAAAATATTTCAATGATTTAAACACGGACAACTAAGGCCGTAACTAAACCTCTTAACGGCCCAGCAGGTAGTACTCGTACGTGACAAATACAAAACTTCGTCATAAACAGCAAATGTAAATTTGACCGAAAAATATAATTGAATTATAAACTTGCCAGTGTACACCTTATCGGACTGCCAGGCACAAAAAGTGCTGTAACTAAACGAAAACAAATTAAAACAAAAATATTTCATACAATTGAATTATGTTATAATTAACAATAAGCACAAAATAAACAATCTGTGCTGTTAAGTTAAAAAATACTTACACGAGCCTGGTGGATTTTTCTTAATGCTGAGAATCAACGTGGGGACGATATATATCCGATTTAGTAACCGACACCAAACACAATGTCGAGTGAAGAATGTTATCAAATCCACTATCACGTGACTTGTAATTTACATAACAAACGCTATCAAAAACCGGCACTTCCGAACATTAAACAAAATACAAAGTACAAATATACGACTAGTATAGTCGATTGATCTGCGAATATAACACAAATTTAGAATATTGAAATCCGATTACACGATATAAGTATCTCAAAACACGACTGGATCAACCAGTAACCGGCACAAAACTGGCTGCAATCCACCGATAGTGCATGCCAAAACTGCGTAAACAACGACGGGACAGTATATGATAAGAAAGCAAGAGGTGCGCAAAGACGACCTTGTGCGCGAAATTGCAATAGGCACATTACCTGTGATCTGAACTAAACAAGACTTTGCTGCATGCAGCAAGTTGATGCGGCGCTAGGAGACAGCGCGCGAGATACATGCGTTAAAAATGTTGTTTACACCGAATCGCAGATAACAACATTGCATACAAAACTGTTCTCGTGCCCTCGTTTGTCGATAAATATAAAAATAAGCCGAATAACTCGATTTTATGATTTTTAGTGCAATAATTAATGTTTCCAAGTGTTTCTACTTATGTATGCTGTACTTATTGTCAATTAACATGTAGAGCGTCTCTTAAACTATAACATGGCCTTTGAAACACACAAAATGTGTATTACGAGTAGTTTACGAGCTACAGACTGATATCTAAACTAACTTTTCAAAATTTGAAATTATTGTCGATTTGTAAGCCATTTTTAAAACTCTTTAAGAAGGTTGAAAAGGACAGGAAGATGCATAGCTATTAAGGAACTCTTAAGTATTATATGAGCATAAGATGTATGTATAAGATGTAAGAAATATGGTCTGTTTTCCAGGCAAAGTGATATTTTCTTTTATGATCAACTGTTACACAAAATTAACACGTAAATAAATAATAATAAATCATATATTTGACTTATACTTAAATCTACCCCATTTTTATCCCAGTTTTCTTTAGGTTATTTTGTGAATCATTGCTCTAATTAGCTCTAATTAAAGAAATTTTAAAATATGATTTTGGATTCTGATAGACAATTAAATTCTGCATCGATTATTTAAGTAAAAAGTCTAACATTAACTGTTTAGGCCTTATTTGCAATTTAAGGAAAAATTATGTCGAATACAGTTTTCAATAAAATTACAAATAGGGCTTAAATGGTTAGTGTTAGCAAAAAATGTTACTGAAATAAACGATGTAAAATTAAATTGTCTATCAGAATCCGAAAACGGAATTTCAAAATTCCAACTTTTAATTTTCGACATAAAAAAGAGAAATCTTTTGCCTTTTTTATAACAAAATCTGTTCTTTAAATTTTTTTTTGTGCCATTTTGATGATTTTTCAATAAGAATGCTATCTTGTAAAAAATTTTTCAAGAATCAAGAATATAACACTCTTTTTTTCTAGGCCTTTTAGATGTCGAGATAATCAGATAATAAATTTCGCATTTTTATATTCAAAATTAAAAGTTGGAATTTTTGAATTCTGTTTATGGATTCTGATAGACAATTTAAATCTACATTGATTATTTAAGTAACTTTTTTTGATAACATTAACCGTTTACACCCCATTTGTAATTTTAATGAAACATGTAGTCATGTCGTCGGTATGGTCTAATTTACAAGATTTAAATGGTAATTATCTCGACAACTAAAACGGCTAGAAAAAAAAGAACTTCATATTCTTGATCCTTGAAAAATTCTCAACAAGATGGCATATTTATTGAAAAATGATAAAAATGGCACAAAAAATTTTTAAAGAAAAGATTTTGTAATAAAAAAGGCAAAAGATTTCTCTTTTTTATGTTAAAAACTAAAAGTTGGAATTTCTAAATTCTGTTTTCGGATTCTGATAGACAATTTAATTCTACATGGATTATTTCTATAACTTCTTTTACTAACACTCATTGTTTAGGCCCTATTTGCAATTTTATTGAAAATTGCATTTGACATAAAGAAGAGAAATCTTTTGACTTTTTTATGACGAAATCTTTTATTTCAACAAATGCCACTTTTGAAATAAGTGGAATTTTTGAATTCTGATTTCGGATTCAAATAGATAACTTAATTTTATATCGATTATCAATGCATGATTTTTTCTATCATTGACCGATTAGGCCCTATTTACATTTTTAATAAAAAAATAAGAATAAAGCCAAAATTGTTAAAGTTAGGAAAAATGTTAAATAAATATTCGATAGAGAATCCTTTAGGTATTCAAAATCTGAAACCCGTTTTATACTAGCTCTTTTAGTTTCCGAGATAATTACAATTGAAAATTTTAATATATTTCCACCCGAAATAATTTTTCGAAATAAGTGCGACCCTGTTTTGAGAGCAAAAATATTTTATGAAAATAGTGCGGCCCTGTTCTTTGGCCAAAAATAAATTTAAGAGTAAGGTTAGAGTCTGTTTTCATCATTAATCATTCAAAAGAAAAGTTAATACAAATTTACTTGTTTTCATTTTAGTTGTTTTTAGTGTTTTCTACTAAAAAGGCCTCAAAATTTAAGAAAATAACCATTTTCAGGGCATTTTTATTATTATAGCTCCCGACACTAATAAATTGATTCCTGTAATTGACAAAAAAGGTAACATTTTAAATATTAAATCAGTCAAATGTTGTCAATTATAATATAAAATATATTAACACCCGAACAAATAAATCAACACTTCAAGTAACAACAATTAATTATCCTTATACGTAAAAACAATGCCTACATTTTACAAATCTAAATAAGCAACTACTCATGAAAATTTGTTTTTCAATTCGGAGGGGACCATTAGTCATTTATTCACAGAGATGTGGCACGTCTTCATCCATTTCATGTTCAACTGGACATTTTCGTAGACAGGTTTGGAAGCACCCTCCGCCATCCAGATCCCCGTTCCCGGATTATTCACATACATCGAGAGTGGATCCATCATAGGAGTCAGCCGATTGAATGTCAAACCATAACTGTAACAAAAAATGTTTGAAATTCGTATTCTCTTGATGGCAGGTGCTTGATAATTTTTATCGACGATTTTCGATAATTAATATCTCTTAAACTAAAAGCGATGGCAACCGACGAATCGCTGATTATGAAAGATTGGATAATTCTCTATCAGATAAAAATATAAAATAATTATATTTCCAAGTGTACAAGATCAAAAAACGCCACTAAAAGTACTAAAAAGTGACATTTTTAAATTTTTGCCTATTTTATTCAATCGCGAATATCTCGTAAACTAAAAGAGATAATTAGGATTGCATCGCAGCGTCTTAATCTACAGACTATTCTCTATAAGATAGGATAGTTAAAACGGAAATCTGAGAGATGAAATTTTAATTATGCTTGCTAATTTTTATCGGCGATATTTGATAGCGAATATCTTGCAAACTAAAAGTGATAGCAACCACAAAATTACATATTATGGAAGGTTGGAAAATTCTCTATTAAATGGAAAATTAAGATAATTTAATTCAATGGGGCAAAACGTCTAAAAACGCAACTGAAACTGCTTAAAATTGCAATATTTCAATTTTCGACATTACGGTTGCCCTGAACACGAGTCACTTCTACCGTTATCCTAGTACGGTGCCTTGAACACGAGTCATTTCTACCGCTACCCTCATACGCTGCTGTGAACGCGAGTCACTTCTTCCGCTGCCCTAGTACGGTGCCCTGTACACGAGTCACTTCTACCGCTACCCTCATACGGTGCCCTGAACACAAGTCACTTTTACCGACACCCTCGTTCGGTGCCCAGAACACGAGTCATCTACCGAGTCTTCACTGAAATATCAAATTTTATCTAAAACTCCACGGAAACACTAAAATATTTAAGATTAGATTGTTTGCTAACCTATTTCAGATAGCTCTTCATATATCCTATAATATATCGTTAGTTATCGCACAGTCCTATTTACATTTTTTATAGAAAAATTAGGAATAAGGCCCAAACGGTTAAAGTTAGGAAAAATGTTACCTAAATATTAGATATAGAATCCTTCAGGTATTCAAAATCTAAAACCCGTTTTATGCTAGCCCTTATAGTTACCGAGAAAATTGCAATTGAAAATTTTAATTTATTTCGACCCGAAATAATTCTTCGAAATAAGTGCGGCCCTGTTCTTCGAGCAAAAATATTTTATGTAAATAGTGCGGCCCTGTTCTTCGACCAAAAAATAATTTTAAGAGTTAGGCTGGAATCTGTTTTTTGTCAATAATAATTCTAAAGAGAAGTTAATACAAATTTAGTTCCTTTTATTTTTATTCCTGTAATTGACAGAAAAGGTAACATTTTAAATAATAAATTAATCAAATGTTGTCATTCATAATATAAAATATATTAACAACCGAACAAATAAATCATCATTTCAAGTAATAACAATTAAGTATCCTTATACGTAAGAAACAATGGCTACATTTTACAAATCTAAATAAGTAACAATTAATGAAAATTTGTTTTCCACTCTGGAGTGGACCATTAGCCATTTATTCACAGAGATGTGGCTCGTCTTCATCCATTTCATGTTCAACTGGACATCTTCGTAGACAGGTTTGAAAGCACCCTCCGCCATCCAGGTCCCAGTCCCCAGCTCCTCATTATTTCAGAATTCAGCAAGCTGTGTCAAATCATAAAGGATTATTCACATACATCGAGAGTGGATCCATCATAGAAGTGCGTCGATTGAATGCCAAACCATAACTGTAACAAAAATTAATATTAGAATCGTATTATGATCTTTTGATGGCGTATTTGAATAAGTTCCAAACAGTTTTAAGGGCAGTCGTATTAGGTATAAAACAGGATGTTAATTAAAAACGAATCAAAATAGTTATACCAAATATCTGAAAACTAACAGTGGGGTAACAATACCACGTAAAAAAAATAATTCAAAACGAAAAATGGACATTTTTTGTAAATTAAAAGAGATAGAGCGAAACGAATCGAAGCGTCTTAATCTATGGACTATTCCTCTATGATAGGCTAGTTAAAACGGAAATCTGAGAGATGAAATTTACCCTAAGAAAAAATTGCCAAGGGGTGTTTGGTTACTTCTTTTCGACGAT